AGCTTTGTGTAAATGGTTCAAGACAGTTTTGTGGTCAATGCTTAGCTCCATACCAATATCGACACTGCTGATATGCTTATTTTGCTGGACTTTTTCAAGAATTTCATCAGCTTTTTCAGTGATTGGATGACTAGAGCGTGACTCATCTTTCACATCAATATTACCAGAACGAAAGCGAGCGAACCATTTCCGCGCAGCAGATTTTGATAAAGTACCTTCACCGTACACAGCACAAATTTTTTCACAAGCCTGTGCAGCGTTCTTTCCTTTGTCGTAATAATATTGCAATATAGCGCAATTTTTCATTACTTTTCTCCATTTTCAAACGCAAACATCTTTCCAACCTCTGCACCAATTTCGATGTTTATACACTCAAAGTAACGCTCGAAGTATCACCTTTCCAACGAGCGTTTAGTAGTGTCGCTGCGATCTGTGTTTCCTGAGTTATTTGCAGTTGACGCCATCTATCGGGAAAAACGCCACGAACGAAAGTTCGTGGCGTTTTTGGGAGAAATCCCAGACCCAATATGTAATTGCAGATTTTGTACCCGCGGCATTTCTTCAAAAACCATCACAGATCCAGCTTACGCTCAAGAGCAAAGTGCCACTTGTAATGAGCAGAATCGAGTCGCGACTTTTGCAATAAATATCGCTTATTTTGTGCTACTAAAATATGTAATTGCAGATTTTGTACCCGCTGCATTTCTTCAGAAACCATCACATACCCAGTTTACGCTCAAGAGTAAAGTGCCACTTTTTTTCAAAATATCAAATTTTCTTTTATGGAACAAATTAGCACAAATTATGCTCTTTCTATTTATGTACTTGTTTTTATTTTTTAATTATTTTTTGCTGTGGCCCTGCTGACTTCATATGAAGGTGACAGTGCCAACATTTTTTTTCAAAATGGCACGAGATACAAAATTTTTATTAATAGCACAAATTAGCACAAAATAAGTACTAAATAATTTGATACGGCATTTCAATTCTGCCAATTTGATCCTGTCAGCTTCAAAGAGGTAAATATTATAGATGATAATGAAAACTGTTTGGTTGATTAGATAAAGACTTTAGTATGCAAAATGATCAAATGACTTTTGTTCAAAAACGGGCATACACTTTTTCATTCATCCAATATTATTATGATTTGCTTGTATCCGATAATCACAATTTTACAACACTCTTACTCGCGTTTGTTATCACAAATAACAAATGTATATTGATTAAAAATCAAAAACGTTTAATAGCAAACTAAGAACAAAGGAGGAAGATTTTCAACTGAACACAAAATAATTAGATATAGTAATTTCTGATCACAGTAAAATTGGACATTTTTCGATTGGATACGCTTCAATTAAACACATTACGTTTAGATGTTACGGTAGATTCAGGCCTGGTCTACAATATGTGTTGTAAGCTGTAAGCCGTAAGATCTGACCAGTTATAGACGATTATTTTTGTAATAATCGACTGTGATTCGCCAATTCTTACGGCTTACAACTTACGACACGTATTGTACCAGGTCTGTAAATATGAAACCGGAATTTGCCCATAGATGGCCCTAGCTGTCAATGTAGTTACCGTCAAACCGCGTCATTGGCGCCATTTCCATTTGTTGACATCTGACAAAGATTTTCAACTCATAACAATACAAGTTTCATACAACAGCATAGTTTGTAATAGCGTTGAACATATCGAATTTTGTGCCTGGAAGCTACGATTTGCGGACAGCATTGATTTTCTGTTACCATTTGAAGAAAACTGCTGCAGTATTGCATCGAATGCTTGTCGAAGCTTACGGTGAGCATGCTCTTGGTAAATCACAGTGGTTTGAGTGGTTTAAAAAATTCAAATGTGGCGATTTTGACGTGAGAAATGAAGAACGTGGAAGATCATCGAAAAAGTTTGAAGACAGCGAATTGCAAGCATTGTTGGATGAAGATGACGCTCAAAGGCAACAATAACTCGCGGATCAATTAAATGTGACACGAAAAGCCGTCTCCATACGTTTGAAAGCCATGGGAAAGATCCAGAAGATGGGAAAATGTGTTCCACATGAACTGAATGAAAGACAGCAGGAAAACCGAAAAACCACTTGCGAAATGCTGCTTGCCAGGTACAAAAGAAAGTCATTTCTCCATCAAATTGTGACTGGCGATGAAAAGTGGATATATTTTGAGAATCCTAAGCGTAAAAGATCATGGGTAACTCCAGGCGAACCATCGACATCGACTGCAAGGCCAAATCGCTATGGACGGAAGACAATGCTCTGTGTTTGGTGGGATCAGAATGGTGTGATCTATTATGAGCTGCTAAAACTTGGCGAAACCGTTCATACTGAACGCTACCGACAACAAATGATCGATTTGAATCAAGCTTTGCGTGAAAAATGACCAGAATATCAAAAAAGGCAACACAAAGTGATTTTGTTTCATGATAATGCACCATCACACACAGCAAAACTGGTCAAGAAAACGATTGAGGCGTTTAGTTGGGAAATACTTTCGCATGCAGCTTACTCACCAGACTTGGCTCCGTCCGATTACTACTTATTTGCATCGATGGGACACACACTTGCTGAGCAGCGCTTCTTACGCAAATGTACGAAAATTGCTCGATGACTGGTTTGCCTCAAAAGAGTAATAGCTTTTTTGGCGTGGCATCCACAAATTGTCAGACAGATGGGAAAAATATATAGCTAGCGATTGGCAATACTTCGAATAAAATATTTTTTATCATTTTCATATAATAAACGTGTATTTTCTATACAAAAATTTCGGTTTCATATTTACATACCTGGTAGACCAAGTCTCACACAGCGTCCAACATACGACATACGTGATCCGTTCTTTTTAGCTGCACTGCTGAACTGGTAGAATAGGTTAGAGTGAGAAAAAATATAGTGACCTCACTTTAACTTATTGCATCAGTTTAGCAGTACAGCTACTTCTTCTTTTTCTTGTTCTTCTAAACTGGCTCCGGGGGAAAGTAGGTGTCCTCATACAGCTGTGTGAACTTGACACCCGACTTTTTCAAAATTAACTTTTCTGCACAAAAAATGTTAGATTTTCGTTTGTAGTTGTTTGTAGTAACATTAATTTTGTTTGTAGTTCGACCGTTCAAAAAATATAAAATTAAAAATATGACACCTATTCGACTTTGAGATATCTCAAATCCGCTTTCGCAGCCTTCTTTAGAATCGTTTGTAATTGTTTGTAGTGCTTTCCGTTTCGTTTGTAGTTGAACCGTTCAAAGATTGTGACAATTTAAACAAACGGCCAAGAGGCCATTCTGTCAATTTTTGAGATATCTCAAATCCGCTTTCGCCACCTTCTTTAGAATCGTTTGTAGTTGTTTGTAGTGCTTTCCGTTTGTAGTTGAATCGTTGAATCATTCTTGAGCATTTTTCTAAATTATTACAATTTTTGGACGGTTCAACTATAAACGAAACGGAAAGCACTACAAACAACTACAAACGATTCTAAAGAAGGTGGCGAAAGCGGATTTGAGATATCTCAGAAATTGACAGAATGACCTCTAGGATGTTTTTTTAAATTGTTACAACTTTTGAACGATTCAGCTATAAACGAAACGGAAAGCACTACAAACAACTACAAACGATTCTAAAGAAGGCTGCGAAAGCAGATTTGAGATATCTCAAAAATTGACAGAATTGCCTCTTGGGCGTTTTTTAATTTGTTACAACTTTTGAACGGTTCAACTACAAACGAAACGGAAAGCACTACAAACAATTACAAACGATTCTAAAGAAGGCTACGAAAGCGGATTTGAGATATCTCAAAGTCGAGTAGGTGTCATTTTTTTTAAATTTATCTTTTGTAAACGGTCAAACTACAAACGAAATTAACGTTACTATAAACAACTACAAATGAAAATCTAACGTTTTTTATGCAGAAAAATTAATTTTGAAAAAGTCGGGTGTCAAATTAACACAACTTCCCCATACTCCATTCCCAAGTTCAGCAATGCAACTAAAACAACGGATATTTATGTCTATTTCTACCAACCTCGGTTAACGTAACCGGTTAGTTATTCTAACAGAATTGACCAATCGCATTGATCGTTAATCAGAATTGTTAAATGCAATTAGTCCATTCTGATGGAATAATCAGTCGGTTAAATTAACCATGGTTGGTAGAAACAGACATTAGGCTGTATTCCGATATTTACTGCCAACAATGAAAATCTATAGTATATATGGCACAAACTACGAAGGTAGTTTGATAAGTCAGTGACTTTTTTAATAAAAGATATTTTTTTCGGCAAATAAGCGTTTTATTTCTCAACGTAGTCTCCTTTTAGCTCGATACATTTAGTCCACCGTTTTTCCAATTTTTTTATTCCTTCCAAATAATAGGTTTTCTCAAGGCCCTCAAAATAGGCGTTTGTTTCAGTGATGACCTCTTCATTCGACCCAAATCTCTTACCGCCCAGCCATTTCTTCAGGTTTGGAAACAGGAAATAGTCGCAGGGGGCTAAATCTGGTGAATATGCTGCATGGGGTAGCAGTTCGTAGCCTAATTTATGGATTTTTGTCATGGTGACTACACACGTGTGCACCCGTGCATTGTCCTGATGGAACAGCACCTTTTTCTTCGCCAAATGCGGTCGTTTTTGCTTCAAATCAATATCGAATTTGTCCAAAAGCTCTGAATAATATTCGCCGGTGATCGTTTTACCCTTTTCAAGGTAATCGATGTGAATGATACCGCGTGCATCCCAAAAAACTGTGGCCATGACCTTGTTGGCCGACAGACCCACCTTGGCCTTCTTTGGTGCACGTTCACCCGAAGAAACCCACTGTCTTGATTGTTCCTTGGTCTCTGGTGTGGTGTGATGGATCCATGTTTCGTCTACGGTAACGAAACGGCGCAAAAACTCGTTCGGATTGCGGCTGAACATCGCCAAACACTCCTTTGAAATGGTCACACGGTTGCGTTTATGGTCGAGTGTGAGCAATCGCGGCACCCATCGCGCGGATAGCTTTTTCATGTCCAAATATTCATGTAAAATGTGATGTACCCGCCTACAGTTGAGATGCCTACAGCCTCAGCCACTTCACGCACTTTCATTCTCCGATCGTCCAATATCATTCCATGGATTTTATCGACGATTTCTGGCGTGACGACCTCTTTTGGGCGACATGAACGTTCGGCGTCACTTGTGCTGGTATGACCACAATGGAACTCAGTAAACCACTTCTTAACCATTGAAATTGATGGTGCAGAGTCCCCATAGTATTTGTCAAGCTTTGCCTTGGTTTCGGTGATGGTTTTTTTACGCAAAAAATAATGCTTAATCAGCACACAAAATTCACTTTTTTCCATTTTCGTTAAAATTCACGAGGTTGTCTGCTTTCAATGGCTGTCAAACACTAACTAAATGGCGCAGCTTGCCCAAACTTGTACAGTAGTCTATTAATAGATGGCAGTTGACGGGAGCAGTGCTGCATTTAAAGTTACTGCGCGGAAAATTCAAAAAGTCACTGACTTATCAAACTGCCCTCGTATGTATTTTTAGTACAGTATCGTATTGCGTATATGATATTTCATCAGAGGTAGGTTGTTTCAACTTCTTGGTAAGTTAATTGATAATTAAATCATATGTCTTTGTCTAAATTAAAGGAAAAACAAAGACAAACATATGATTTAGCAATCAGTTAACTTACCAAGAAGTTAGAACAACCGACTCTAAGACAATTGGCTGAAAATCGTAATATCTAGTGACATTCATGAAATATCGTATGAGACATTTTTTAAGAATAGAAGAAGAATAGAAGAAGGCCCTAAGAATGAATATCGGAACACTGCTTTCATAGGAAAATAGCTCTCTTATGAAGAATTGTATTCTCTATGAGAAATCTATTCTCCTATTGGATATCATATAGAAAGTTGGTTAGGGAATACTGTAGTAGCCATTCAGTATCTTGCTCGCCCAGAAATCATATTTAAAAAACATGCGACATGTAGGACGTTGATTGGGAATACCGCAGTATTCCTTAGTCAATTTCCGCTGAGCGGCAAGCGTTGCTGCGTCCTGTGTGCAATCAGCTATTGAGACGGATTTCAAGGGATACTTTTTCTGATGCGCCCCATGAGAAACAGCAAAAAAAATAGCAAAACGTGCACGATTCTTCTTCACTTTACTTCTTTACAAAAATAGTAAATTAAAAAGTCACAGACGACCAATTGCTCTCTGTCTCTGTCTTATCACCGATGAGCGAACTGCGTGGCAAAAATAAGCACGAGGCGAGTCAGCGGCGATCTTATTACTAATTGTAAGCAAGAATATTCCTGTCTCTTTCCCACCTTATATTTTATGCGATGCGCTATCTGCAATTCGAAAAAAATATTTCGAGATCGCACGGATAATTTCTAACAATGATATAATAACACTAATAGGTGACAATTTTTTATAATTTTTATTTTCAGTTTCATAATTTTTACACTTAATTATGAACATAAATTTGCATATATGTTGTAAATAATAATATGTAATAATTATTAAATTTTAATTATAAATATTAAATAATTTTATTAATGTTAATAATATAAATGGTATCAGTAACTTGAGGTACTCATCTTCTTGCAAGGAAATTAACATACTTATCTATTTTAGAAAAAATTTCTTTATATAAAATGTTTACGAGTCAATATGCAAAGTTATATGATGGATTGTTGAGTGTTTGCAGGAGAAAAATGAACAATTTGGTATACAGGGTGCACGATTTATCTGAAGACATTGAAATATCTCGAGAACTATGCATTGGATAAAAAAAAGTGGGTGATGAAAGTTGTTAGTCTCAAAGGGGGACATCCAATGATACCAAACTCGACCTCCCACCCCACCCCCTGGGGGTGGGGGTTGGGGGCAACTTTGAAATCTTAAATGGAAACCCCCATTTTTTATTGCAGATACGGATTCTACGCCACAAAATACGTAAATTTTGTCCGAAACTTTTTTTTTAATTCGTGATAGATGGCGCTGTAATCGCAAAAAATTATATTTTCCGCAATTCTCCAGAAATGATCATTGGATTGAGAAATAAAAAATACCTGTTCAATATTTTTAAAGAACATAATAAAAGTTATTCCCCCCCCATCCTCTCGGGATAGGGTGGGTGATAACGTTCAAATCTCAAATGGGGACCCACATTTTTCATTGCAGAATTTGCCTTTTATAATAAGCCGTAGTTCGCCATACACCCACAGTGGCGCGTCGAGCAGTTCCCTCTTCGATTCGGGTTCCCATTGGAGATTTGAACGTTACTACCCACCCTACCCCGAGAGGATGGGGGGGGAATAACTTTTATTATGTTCTTTAAAAATATTGAACAGGTATTTTTTATTTCTCAATCCAATGATCATTTCTGGAGAATTGCGGAAAATATAATTTTTTGCGATTACAGCGCCATCTATCACGAATTAAAAAAAAAGTTTCGGACAAAATTTACGTATTTTGTGGCGTAGAATCCGTGTCTGCAATAAAAAATGGGGGTTTCCATTTAAGATTTCAAAGTTGCCCCCAACCCCCACCCCCAGGGGGTGGGGTGGGAGGTCGAGTTTGGTATCATTGGATGTCCCCCTTCGAGACTAACAACTTTCATTAACCACTTTTTTTATCCAATACATAGTTCTCGAGATATTTCAATGTCTTTAGATAAATCGTGCACCCTGTATAGATATTATGCACAATTGGAGGTACTAAAACTGCTGCGACTAAGAATATAAATACTAGTATTGTAGTCGCAGAGGCAAATACTTAATTTATTATACTGAAGAATAGGGATACTAAATTTCGTATGTTGTTTTGTTTCTCATTTTTCTCATTTTCTTTTCCAATATATCAAAATATTATTTAATGCATTTTGTTAATATTGGTATATTTAAGTCGATATTGATATATTTAATATATATTTAACTTATGATATAATTGTGTGTAAAATATTTATGCTTTACACGGTGTGTATGTTCATAAGGTGCGTACCTAATATGCTGAGAGAAAACAAACAGGTGTGTGTGTGTGTGTGTGAAGTTGACGTAACATTTTTCGGAAAATCACAAATTATTGCGAGTTCTGGCTTCCTTTTTAATAGTTCTAGAGTTCTTGCTAAGTTAAACAAATAGTTCCGCTGAATAACGTAAAAAAATGGTCTCGGACAAAGTGATTTGCTAAGTTCACGCTGCGTATCACTTTGTCCTACATGATTTCCGCGCACATATTAGGTGTACAACTTTGCTTCCGCCGTTTTTTTCCGAAATTCGAGGCTTTATTGTAAAAAACTGGTTATATATTTATGATTCAAAGTATTGTCCATCGCTGGCCACTACTTTCTCCCATCTTTCGGGCAGCGTACGAATCCCGCGTTGAAAAAACTGGTCATCTTTTGAAGCGATCCACGAATCGATCCAATTTCTTACTTCTTCATAAGACCGGAAGTACTGGTCAACCAGGCCTTGTGCCATTGACCGGAAGTACTGGTCAACCAGGCCTTGTGCCATTGATCGAAACAAGTTATAGTCAGAGGGAGCAATGTCTGGAGAATACGGCGGGTGGGGTAGGACTTCCCATTTCAACGTTTCCAAATATGTCTTGACCACTTTCGCAACATGGGGTCGAGCATTGTCATGCTGCAAAATCACTTTATCGTGTCTCTCGTTGTATTGCGGCCGTTTGTCTTTCAATGCTCGGCTCAAATGCATTAATTGCGTTCGATAACGATCGCCTGTGATTGTTTCAGTCGATTTTAACAGCTCATAATACACTACGCCGAGCTGGTCCCACCAAATACAGAGCATGACCTTGGAGCCGTGCATATTCGGTTTGGCCGTCAACGTGGAAGCATGGCCAGGATATGCCCATGATTTTCTGCGCTTGGGGTTATCGTAATGAACCCATTTTTCGTCCCCAGTCACAATGCGATGCAGGAATCTCTTCCGTCTTTGCCTTTCAAGCAACTGTTCACAAGCAAACAAACGCCATTCAACATCTCTCGGTTTCAACTCGTACGGCACCCAATTTCCTTGCTTCTGAATCATTCCCATGTCTTTGAGACGTTTTGAAATTGCTTGTTGAGTCACTCCCAATGATCGTGCCAATTCTTCTTGACTTTGACACGAGTCTTTATTAAGTAATGCCTCCAATTCTGCATCTTCGAAAACCTTCTCTCTTCCACCGCTATGCCGGTCTTCGACGTGAAAATCACCGTTCTTGAAGCGTTGAAACCACTCACGACACGTTCTTTCACTAATGGCAGGCTCACTATAAGTATTTAAGAACAGAGATTCGATGAGCCTCAGCTGCAGATTTCTTCATATTGAAGCAGAAAATTAAAACCTCCTGCAAATGACGAGAATTTGGCTCGTAAACTGACATTTTCAATCGAGAATAACTTTATAATGCAGACACTAATCAACTAACGTTTCTATGGGGTTATGTTGACAGATGCTCAAGTTTATTGCATGACATCTATGATCTATTTATTTCGACCACTATTTACCGCTAAAGCCATTTATAGGAAAATGGCGGAAGCAAAGTTGTACACCTAATATATTGTCAGATTTCGCAAAATATATAGTTCTACAATAGTTCTGTAAAGAGTTCTGTTCCATAAAAGCAAAAAAGAATTATTTTAATTAAGTAAAGGTTAGCGTTAATACAGTAATAAGCGTACCGACTTGAGATGCTATCAAAATCTCAGAACTCTGGCCTTTCCAAAAGAGTTCGTCGATCGTTCTCTCTCGCTTCTCTCGGGAGCCTTGAACGAGTAAAAGTGAACGAGGCTGCTGCTTCTTACTAACGGAGGAGCCGACGTCCCCACTCTTTTTTAAATCAGGTACCACGGTCTTTTGACAAAGGATTCTTTGTTAGGCTTCGAGTCGAATGCGAACGAGAAACCAACGGCCAAATTCAAACACGTTGAATCCTCTGCTATATTGTCTCCATCAAAATATTGGAGTGTAGAGCAAAGCAATGCTTAACACATTGGATGCAAAACAAATAATATTTAAAATCGACTGCGATACTACAAAACAGGATTTATAAGTGAAGTATGAATAATATCACTGTTCTTATTTATTACGAATATGTTCTTATTTATCACAATGTATGCAGAAAGAAATATATTTTCGAATGTTAATGATTTATGTTTTCCGGTCTCGCTTTTAAAACAACCATGTGCCTGTAAGGAAAATGCTTTTATACGACGTGCATGGTGCTCTGTGAATTTATGTTTTTTCTGTTTCTATGATAAGTATCACCCTGAAATTGTTCATTTCATATAGAGGAATCTGTGATGTAAGAATTATTTAATATTACTATAACTATATTTGCATACAATAATAAAATACCATTTGTCTCCACCAATTCTTCGCATTTCAGTTTTCTATCCTAGAATTGACCTACATATTAAATACTACATAATCATAACACAGTTCTTACTTATTACGAATATCACGATATATGCTGTGAACATTTCTTGCTAATTGATAAAAAAAAAGAATGATTAGAACCGAACTTGGGTCCTACGGCGTACTAGCTGCAACCGCAGTCGCTGCGCCACGTCCACTGACTCGAAAGTTACTGCTACGTACCGAGTATTCTAGCGCGTAGAACTTCAAAATTTTTTCTCCGAAACTAAGGCCCATTGAGGAAAACCCTTTGATCCTCATGCACAGGGGAGGTCCCTTACAATATATTCGAGAGCCATCAAAATCCTTTATTAACAGGTCTGAGGGTCTCCTTGTGAGTACTTGTGACTTGATATGCTGTCACCTATATCAGGATTTTACGTTAAACCATGGGATTCATAAATAATCTAGCAATATATATGCAATACATATACGCAAACTCATTAGTAGAATTAGTAGAATACATTGATAATGTGGGGATATCAGGCAGGTATAAAATATATCGGCCCACTGCAGATTCTCTCCACTGGCAAAAACTGAGAATTTCGATCTTACATATGTATCTCAGAGGCCTTAAAAGCCCGTATAAACTTTGTCCGATCCAAAAATCTTCGATATTTTACAGGTTTTACATTTGACAAATTTGCGCGTCTGCCATTTTGAATAGAGGGCCTAATTTAAAAATCGGGCTTGATATGATTGTAGAGCAATTCGCGAGTAAATTTAAAAAGAAAGAATGGAAATCGGTTAAGAATTACGCTGTCTAGCGATTTTTGTCCACGAAAAGACCCATTTGACCCACTATGCGGCGGCGAGCGTTCGGATCCCACCGACGACTGCTTCACTTCATGGTTTTTTTCTTTTTTCTTTAATTTTCGACATACAGTAATACGTTATTAATAATTATTTATTTATTTATTTATTTTTTAATTTATTTCGTTTTTATATAAAAAATAAGGACATTTCGGGATATTTGAACGCAATATGAAATAAAAAATATATAAATCGTATGAACTGATTATATATTTTTCAAGCAACGTATAAATTTTATACATATCAAAATCAAATACAAACTTTATAAATGTCTACATATTATAAAATGTTTCCATCGCTTCGTTGTGGATGAAAATTCATGTAAAAACATTGGAAACATAAAACTTTATCGCACCACGAACATTTTATAAATGAATTATGTTGTTCACATACACATTTTTTATTATAAATATTTGGAGGAAAGCATAGCTGGTTAACATTTAAAAACATTTCTCTTTCGTCAGCTAATTTGGACGCATATCATGCATATTGAAGCATACATTTAAATCCAAGATTTAAATAAAAATATATAATCAGTTCATACGATATATTTTTTATTTCATATTGCGTTCAAATATCCCGAAATGTCCTTATTTTTTTATATAAAAACGAAATAAATTAGAAAATAAATAAATAATTATTAATAACATATTACTATATGTTTTCATCACCTACATACAAGCTATCGAACGCACTATGACTCGTTCGAAAAATGATTTTCTATGATAATTGGCGTCATCCCCTTGTTAGCTCTATGTCCTTACGGAGCCCGTGTGCCAAAGTTCTGAGACATCCTGTATATAACCATATATAATTATGTCAAATTAAACATTATTTTATTTAATTATATTTAAACAATTTCCCGAATGATAGGGGAACTTGGGGTATAATGAGACTACGGGGCATAATGGAGTATGGTCGAAAACTTTTTACGGAGATGCTGTCATGCAATAAAACGTTTTGCCATTATTACTGTTAAATGTCTCTTATCACATACCATTATTAATTGTCATATTATTTTTAGTTGAAAGATGCTACAAATTGTTTAATGCGTTTGCTACGTCCTCCGCATCTCTATTACAATTTGCTACGTATATTTACATAAGTTAAACTATGACAAAATTCTTTTTTCGTTTTCGTATGAACATTAATGTTATTAAACCATCTTTTCTCGTCATTTTAATCAAATTCCTGTACAAACACCGATTATCTCTAACGTTTTATATTACATAATCCAAACTTACATATGTCTAGGCATAATGAGATTATACCATTATGTTCTTAAAACATTAAGTTATATTATTTCTGATTGTATGCTTGTTTTATTTTATATAATGAATTGTATATATTTTTTATATATTATATATATTTTATATAATGAATACGAAATATAAAAGCTAGACGCTAGCCAGCTGGAAGCTGGACGCTACCCAGTTGAAAGCTGGACGTTAACCAGCTGAAAGCTGAAAGTTGGACGCCAGCCAGCTGAAAGCTAGAAGCTTGGCGTTTCAAATTTTAGGGGATAATTTTTTTGTTAGTAATTTATTTCTGTCAAATTAATGACCGAATATGTTTTCATACGTATTGATTTAATCATTTTTATTAATATTATATAAAATATTTTTTAGTTTAGTTATACGCGCTTTACAATTGTCGTTAAAATTTTACAGGCCTCTAATTGTATATATAATTTTATAATATATTGTTAAATTATATTATGCGCTAAATAGGTGAAATCATATTTGATAACATTTAAGCGATAATATAAAATTCATTCACACACATACATAATAATGTCTTATAATAAACATATTAGTATATCTAGTTAATATTTTTTTAATTTTGTGTTATATTATCAAGATATTCAATGCACTTCATGCATAACGCGCTTGCCCTTTCTTATTCACTTTGACTTTTCTGTAAAATTGTAGTATAAACATAAATTTCACAAATATGTGATTCAGGAAACAAACGAGAATAAAAAGACAATTGAGCTAGTACGCTGTTAATCATGCGTCAGTTATTTACTTTTAATAATCATAGTTAAAATCTACAAATATCCATACGTATGTTCCAGTCGTAATTTTTCGACTTTTTTCAATAGTAAAATATAAAAATTATAATTCGTGACATTTGTATGATAGTTCATTCGGGAATCGCGGAGATAACATATTTTATAATTGTATTGCATATATGTAAGTTTGTGTTATTCGGAACTTGTCTGTGTAGAGTCCTTATTTGTAACAATGAAGGATTTATAAAATATTCCGTCAACGAATCCGGTCAACGAAAGTTGAGTATTTTCATGACTAGATAAACGTTACTCACCAACAGTAAACGCCGAAGTCCCGCTATTTGCAAGTATTATGTGTGAAAAGTCAAAACCCTACAGCGCCCAATAGCCTCGATAACAAACGTGATTCACCTGTAGGTTAAACAAAAATAAGGAGCAATGCAGATTCGTCAAGAAAAACAACTTCAACAAAGTAATCGTTCACCAACCGAATCAAACACAAACAATCACAATGAAATCGAGCACGTGGTCCAATAATAAACAATAACCATTATTGGCGTGCGATAAGAGATATAATAAACATTGACTATTATTGGCGTGCGTCCACGTTCAAAAATCAAGGACGAGTGACGAGTACCAGACGGCAGAAAGACTTAAAATATATCTTGAAAACTCTGTTTGTAAACAGGATGATACATTATAATCTATCGAGTATTTTGATGATAGATAGATAATTCAGGAAATATACATTTGAAATTTCTGTACAAATAGCGCGCCTCACACGCATTTGCTATGTTGTTATATATGCGATTTATCTCTGCTCACATGTTTATTTTGTGTAAAGGACTGGTCTCACGATGCTCGATTGTGTTAATAATTTTCTATAGGCTAACTTTTATGAAGTTGCATATGGAACATTATATGATAACGTTCATGATTTTGAATTGTTAGTATTATTGTTTTTGTCGAAATCATGAAGGTTGCCATGCAGAGCTCCGTGCACAACTTCATAAGTTAACATATAGAAAATCATTAATATAATCGAGCATCGTGAGACTAATATCATATCATTACGATTAATTAGAGCATAAGAAAATATGCACAAGCAGTCGTGAAGCATAGTGCAATTGTAGAGAAATATCACAGTGTACCTACCTATAGTATTTATCTACTCGGGCAGTGCGGCACATATACCATGAAGTTTTCTCATTGTGTTTTGTCCAAAATATTAAATACCATTTTCTAATATTATATATGGATGGATTTGGTATTTAATGCTCTACAATTTTTGTTCTTACAAAAACTTAAAAATTTTTCCAGAGTAACAAGAGGGGGGGAGTAGTTCAACATTTGAAATTTAAAAAACTGAACACATGGTTGCAAAGAGCATAAAATATTGCAAAACTTTTGTCTGAAACTTTTTTTCATATGACTCATAATTTAGAAAATATTTGATAAAAACGATAACGGCTATTTTTTTTAAGGGGTGGTTTCATTCCCTAAACATGCTCCGAAGCCGATATAAAAAAATATGTATCCCTTAGTTTTTGATGCTCTACAACATATCCGAAGCCCATTCAAATCGGTGAGGGACAGTTGTGACACTCTTCTTGTTAGTCTACTTGATTTTAGAGTTTTGTCTTTTGATATATAATATATACTGGGAAATGTCTTCCATTCAGTCTCAGGTGATCGTTTTCTATTGGGTTACAAGTCCCCCATTTAATTTTCTTTTCAATCAGAGTACTGTGCGACCAACTCAATTCTCTAGCTAATGCAGTTCTAAAATCCAGAAAAGCCATTTTTTGTCTGTCACCAAAAGAGTTATACAGGGTGCACGATTTATCTGAAGACATTGAAATATCTCGAGAACTATGCATTGGATAAAAAAAGTGGTTAATGAAAGTTGTTAGTCTCGAAGGGGGACATCCAATGATATCAAACTTGGCCTCCCACCCCACCACCAGGGGGTGGGGGTTGGGGGCAACTTTAAAATCTTAGATGGAAACCCCCATTTTTTATTGCAGATACGGATTCTACGCCACAAAATACGTAAATTTTGTCCGAAACTTTTTTTTTATTCGTGATAGATGGCGCTGTAATCGCAAAAAATTATATTTTCCGCAATTCTCCAGAAATGATCATTGGATTGAGAAATAAAAAATACCTGTTCAATATTTGTAAAGAACATAATAAAAGTTATTCGCCCCCCCATCCTCTCGGGGTAAGGTGGGTAATTTTTATTGAAACAATTTTTTTCATTCGTGATAGATAGCGTTGAATTTTTCCGAGAAACTACTTTTAGCGTTACACAAGAACAACGACGAGGACGAAGTAGTTTTATGTTCCCTTCGGGTGCTTTTTTAATGTAAGTCCCCTTGCCTCTCACAGATCGGGGTGCTTTTTTAATGTGAGTCCCCTTGCCTCTCACTGTTCAATTAATTAGAGTAAGTGTTCGAAATTTTTACCTTCAACTTCAATACACTTATTGATCCTTTTTTCAAATGACTGTACACAGGATAGAAGCATATCTGCGGGAGTTTCAGCGCAAGCGTTTCTTATGCGTTCTACCATGTTTTCACGAGTTGTTGGCACTTGTTGATTTAAAAATATTGAACAGGTATTTTTTATTTCTCAATCCAATGATCATTTCTGGAGAATTGCGGAAAATATAATTTTTTGCGATTACAGCGCCATCTATCACGAATAAAAAAAGTTTCGGACAAAATTTACGTATTTTGTAGCGTAGAATCCGCATCTGCAATGAAAAATGGGGGTTTCCATTTAAGATTTCAAAGTTGCTCCCAACCCCCACACCCCCAGGGGATGGGGTGGGAGGCCGAGTTTGATATCATTGGATGTCCCCCTTCGAGACTAACAACTTTCATTAACCACTTTTTTGTATCCAATGCATAGTTCTCGAGATATTTCAATGTCTTCAGATAAATCGTGCACCCTGTATAGCACGTATGAGTTAAAAATACTGACATCCAAAAGACGAAAATAGACTTTCATGTACCATTGTTTACTTTTTCGTAGTAAATTATACGGTTTTATAAATTGATCGCCAAGCTCCCATATTTTCATTATAAAAAAGAACGACATTGGGTTTTTTTATAACATCTCCATTATATTTTTTTGTTCAGTTTCAATCATTTCAGGGCAGTGAATAGTACTAAGCATTCTTACAATCTTTTTATCTTTCCAAATAGTCAAACTTAGTTTCGGCGTATGATATATTTTTATATCGCCTGGTTTCATTTTTTTTTGTTTCGACATTTTTTGGCATATATTTTCTTTTTGTTTTGACAGTTCCACAAACATTAGTTTTTTCGTCAACTAATTGTTTATAAAGTACTGGGGAACTGTACCAATTATCAATAATACATAATGTACGACCTTGTTTTGCCAAATTGCCTAATAATAGTTTGACTGCTTTTCCTGATTCCAATTAGTTTGTTTGAAGACAAACTATTATCTTTTCCAGCGTATATCTTGCAATTGAAAACGTAACCACTTTTTGACTCAGAACATTGATAGAATTTTATATCAAATCGTGCCTGCTTTTGTGGGTTATATTGTTTGAAGGCAAGTCTTCCTTTATATAAAACAAGAGATTCATCAATGGCAATGTACGGGCCTGGTTGATATACCGCTTGAAACGTTCGATTAAAGAATTCAAAATACCAGAAATTTTGTCTACTTTATTTGTTCATATATCATTATCAGAAAAGTGAAGGTATCGAGTAATTTCTTGACATCTTCTCAAAGTCATATACTTTCTGAAAAATAAAGTTTCTAACATGTCATCGATAGACCAATACGAAGTAAGACTTGGTTTTTTTACAATGCTCATTACAATCATTAGAGCAAAGTACGTATGTAAATCATCAGAGATTAGTTTTTTCTATCTTACAAGGGGAGGACGCATCGACCGGGACCGTTTGGAACGAAACTTACGGAGTTAATAGTACTTGACTACTAATAACTCATGATAATAGCATACAACACAATATCTCTTCGTTTTCCAGAAAAAACGATCTAAAGAAAAGAACCAACAAAGTGTACGAGTCAGTAAGAAGGGTATTCAACGAAGCGGCGTATCGCAGCAGCGAAGGTAACGGACTACCAAGCTGACGGCTGAGGTTCGATCCCTGCTGTATGGTTTTTTTACTCTGTAAGCATAAGAATGAAACAGAAAACATTAATAAGTAATAAAACTGCGTTTCTTGAATATATTAGTGTTTGTTAAATATATTATTAATGATTTAAATTGCAAAAAAACCGTAAATCTTATCTATAAAATATATAGTGTATGAGAAAATTTTTATATAATAATTGCAATGAGAATAGGAATAAAAATATTATTATGAAATATATAGGAGTGCTATTAACCCCCGGTCGATGCCGTCACAGTGGCGGCATTCGCAAGTCGTCGTAGAAGTCGGTGCCGCCAGGCTGGTATTCATGATTGCCTAGAGTGCGGCACGGCAAACGAGGCTAGCGATAATGAAAGAAAACCTCCCGATGCTAGATTTAAATATTTAGATCAACAGATATCAATGTTTATCGATCTCTTCGAAATCGGCCGACCGCAAAGGGTTAAACTAGTATGAGATAATTTTTCGTAACCTTATATCGTATATATAAAATATTTGTTTCTGTTACAACTCTCTATGTTGTGTTAAAGTCGTGTTGTGTTGAAGTTGTGTTGTATCTTTATCTCTTCTGGTAATCCCCCTCCAAAATCTTCTTTTGTGTCATTCTAAACGATCGTTAAGAATGACGAAATGATTCGAGCATCGGAACAGTCGTCAGTAGAGCAAGCAGCAGTGTGCGTTTACTAGTGATACAGAGCAGTTCGGTGATCATATTTAAATTACATATATCATAACAATGTCAGAGAATCCTTCAACAAGCAAAATAGTTGATGTAGAATCGCTAGAAGAAAAAGATCTTTTGAAAATGAAGATTTTAAAGGTGAATTCACTAATGCTCTCGTATATGCGAATTCTATTTACAAGAGTAATGAATTATTATCGAAAAATCTTCCAACGAAAATATAATATATTTTTACTCCTATTTCCACTGCAATTATTATATAAAAATTTTCTCATACACTATATATTTTATAGATAAGATTTACGGTTTTTTTGCAATTTAAATCATTAATAATATATTTAACAAACACTAATATATTCAAGAAACGCAGTTTTATTACTTATTAATCTTTTCTGTTTCATTCTTATGCTTACAGAGTAAAAAACCATACAGCAGGGATCGAACCTCAGCCGTCAGCTTGGTAGTCCGTTACCTTCGCTGCTGCGATACGCCGCTTCGTTGAATACTAACTCGTTGAATACTAACCTTCTTACTAACTCGTACACTTTATTGGCTCTTTTCTTTAAACC